CCCCAAAACCCCAAAACCCCAAAACCCCAAAACCCCTTTAAGAAGAGAAATAGTGGAGATGTTAATAAATATTAACTATAATAATGATCCTAATATGGTAAGAACACCCAAAATTAAGTGAATGCTTATTAAGAATCTACAAACCATGACCTTCCGTGTATATTAATAATATCTCTGTAATCAGACCAGTTTTATTGATTTCTTTGCACTTATATAATACTGAACCTAACAATATTTTAGACAAATTGAAGAATTATGTTCCTAACCATAAATACTTCATTGTCTTAAAATATTTTATACTTTTCTCAAAACCAACAGGCAGCATTCATTCCTTCCAACTGATGTCTTAAATTCCTCCTAACACATCAACAAACCTCAGAATAAAATTTTGATTATAATCCTTGTCAACCATTACTTCCTATAGTATCGGCTTCACCAAAATCTGTAAATTATATAAACAGCGATTATTTTTAATACGATATGGATTTTTAGAAGTAAACCGACTTTGGCTGGGAGGAAATAGGGGATTTTGGAGGGTAAGGGGATTTGGAGGGGTGGGAATTTGGGGAATTTTAGGGGAATGTGGGAGGTATGTGTGTTTAGAAATTAGAGATTATTAAAATAGATTCTGCTAAATTTTGACAACCCCCAAGTCAATCAAAAAAGAAAGTTGGTCAAGAAAATTTTACTACTTGAAACATTACTTCTCAGCTTGGCTAGTAAGAATTACCTGATGTATCCAAAAAGTTAATAAAATACATAAAAAATGTTTGACACTCAGGTTTTAGCTGTAATAACAAAAATGTGCTTTCTATTAACTCACTGTATAGGCTTTCGCTGATAGTACAACTAGTACTTTGAGCCCAATGCCCTGCTGGAACAGACACTTCCATGAAAATAAAAAACTTCTCCTTCAGCTATGCTTCTTTTGACAACACAGAAGTTACAAATGGGATATCTTGACCTGATAATTCATGTGTTTATATGACGGTAAATGGTGCTTTTCTCTCAATTCTAAAAGCAAGACTCTTTAAATTTGATTCCAATTTTAATTCAATTTGGATGCTGAACTTTGACGGAAACAAAATTGCAAAGAATGCTATAGCTCTTCATTCGTCAGGAGCTCATTTAGTGGTTGCAATGAAGTCTTCTACTGGGTGTCCTCTAGTCAAGCTTGATAGTTCAACGAATGCGGTTATCGAAGAAATTAAAGTTGGAACAGCCATTGATTGCAACTTTCTTACTCTTTCAAACGATCACTCAAACATCTATCTTTCAGGAACAGTTTCATCCACTCCTCATATTTTCAAAACCGGGTATGAAGATTTTGGAGCTACATCAATTACTTCAATTCCAGTAAGCTTAGACTCGATTTACTCCATCCATTCATATACAAGTTCAGGACAAGAACTCCTGATAATTAGTGGTTCATTAACCAGTCCTACTCAGTCCTACAGCTTGTTCTCGGCCGAATATGAAACAGCTACTCAGCAATGGGCCAAGAACCTTGGATGTCCTGCTTCATGAACTTTAAGCGGAACCAATAATGCATTAATTTTGGAATCTGATAGCAAAGTAATTAGTTATTTCTTGGATACAAATCCAATTATGTATATAAGCAACCTTACTGATGGAGCCCTTGTTGGATCTTATGTGCCTGATTTTACCCAAATTGGGTTAGAAATCAGTAGTATAGCATATTCAACCTCGTTCAGTAAAGTGTTCGTGATGATGAAATACAATAATGGAGCCTATAAAATTGAGTATGACCCTTCCACTAACACATTTTCAAACGCATACATAAGCACTGCAATCATTCCAGGATGGATAATTGAAGCAGGAGGACACACTTTAATTGGATCTGGAGTTCCCTCTTCCTCATCTGTCATTGCGATATCAAGATTAGCTGCAAACGGAATTTATGGGCAAAACACTGATGTATCTTTAACATCAACAAGTGGCTCTTTCACTTCATCAATTGGGTATTCTTATTCCAACGATGGTACTTCTTTAGTGTCTGCTACTCCTTCATCTGAAATTACAGGAACATCAAATATCCCTTCATTAGTGTTATTGTCCCCTATTCCCACTGGTGATTTGAATGGAGAAAGCGATGTTATCTTTGGAGGAGAAGATCATATATTAAATACTGCAGTGAACACGACTGGAATTGTATCCAACTTCTTTCCATGATCCATCAGTGGAGGAACTACAATTAGCTCTGTGATTGATCCCCATTCGAATGGAGAGGTTCTTCCAGTTTGGGTAACATTGAATGCTGATTCTTTATCTGTTGATTATACTGTGCCATCTTCTGCTGGAGGTCAGTCATTTTACTTTACTGGGAAAAGCACTGTTGATGGTAAAGAATACTTAAGAAATGCACAAATAAATGTGGAAGTAGATTCAAGTTTTCCCCCAAGCTCCCCATCATCTTCTTCATCTTCTTCTTCATCATCTTCTTCATTAACCTGTGAAACTTTGAATTGAGAGTCTTGCAGCTCTTCTGAATGAACTACTTGTAAAGAAGGCTACACCCTCACCACCTCCAAAACCTGTTCCAAATCCACCACAACTCTCGACCTAAAATCTGCACTAGTTATTACTGGACTTGTAGGTGGGATTTTAGTGTCAGTAGTGGTAGGGAGATTGTCAGGAGGGACAATGAAGAATATGTGGGCGATGTTTAACCAGTTTCAGTTGTTTCTAGTTCTTCCATTTTTGAGAGCAGAGCTACCGTTTGAGTTTGTTCAGACTATAAGAGCTCTTGAAACAAGTATTCTAAATATTAATCTGCTTGATATAAAGACTATGTCTTTATTTGAGATACTAATTGGGCATCTTGATTATGAACATCCTTATCAAGAGTTCAGAGAAAATGATTATGATTCAGGTAGCGCCTTTGTCAATTGATTGGATCTTATTGCTTATCCAATTGGATTTACAATCTTGATCCTTATCTTTCACCCTCCTTTAAGAATATTCTGTAAGACAAAGAATAGATCTTATAGACTAAAAGTTTACAGATGTTTTACTGGCTTGGCTTATTTCAAATTCTATCTGAGATATTATGTTGAAAGCTTCTTGTTTATATGTCTCGCCTCAATCAGTGAGATCTCTAGAATACCTGAAGCTCGAGATCATCCAACTTCATTTGGCATAAGTGTTATATCAGTTATTCTCCTTATCTTGTTCATATGACTTGTGCCTTTTCTTCTTTTTAAGGTGAAAAATCCACATGAAAACAAGTATGTCAACGAACTTTTTGAAGGATTCAAAAAGAATAAACTTTCTCAACTATATAACTTTATGTTCCTCTTAAGAAGATTACTGATAGTGATAGTGATTGTTGCGCTCAGGTCAACTGATCTGACTCTAAAATTTTTGATTTTCGCATTTCTTCAAGTTTTATCACTCTCTTTGGTGGTACTTGTGAGGCATCATGATAAAAAATACCAGAATATTATTGAGGTTGTGAATGAAGTATCTTACTTGACAATAATAATGCTTATTTTTATTTACCAGAGGTATGAATCTACCTTTGTTGAAATACTCTTAAACAACTCAATTATTGGCAACACACTGCTGGTGTTTGTGATCAGTATCGTTAATCTGATTTGCCAGGTTGTATATTCTTGCTACATAAAGAAGAGAAAGATAATACTTCCTTCTTCCAGAAAAGTCAGGGTCAAGAAGAGTCATCAGAGCGTAAATATGAACAAAGAGAAGCTTGAAATTTTAGATAAAACTAAGTAAGCTTGTAAAACTTATTTTTTAATATTTTTAGCATTCGTCCTATTTTCATAATCTAACTCGAAATTTTGATAATTGTATGAATAAAGCCTATTATAAGATTTTAGGGATCATTCGGTGGACTTCATTTTAAATACTCTAGCTTGCCTGACTACTCCTATATCCATACTCACAGTGATCTAGATGTCGGACTAATTCATAGGTCATCTTGAATCCTATATAATTTAGAACCTGCCTAAATTTCTTCTTTCCTATTTTATGCTAAAAATCCTAATTTCTTAATATCAAATTATCAAGTTAGAGCAGAAATTTATGAATGTCTCTGCATTTCATGGTTGATCCTGATTGAATGCAATTATGTAGATTCTCGAGTATTTTCTAAAGACAATATTGGACTCAGCTTGTCTAGAGGTTTATAAAATTATATAGGGCTTTTATGAAAATTTCAAATCTCAGCCTCTTAGTTTTAGGTGATTTCAAATTTAAACCGGTGAAATTTTTTTCTTTCAGCCCATTAACTATTGAATATAGGATGCCATTAGAGGATGTAGGAATATCCACAGGCCATATACCTCAAAGTTTGAAGAGAACTGGTGAGGTTAGTTCTCAGAGAATGTTTATGGACTCAGATGACATAATAGTGTTCCCTCTCTTCAGGAAGGCGAATTTCCTGATCGCTAAGCCACGCCTTGATTATTATAACGCTAATCAACAGCAGACTGATAAGCCGAAAGAAGGTCATTATAATGACTAAGAATTATTAACTTTGAGCAGTTCTTGAACTGATAGCTTTATTGTCTAACCTAATTTGCCATTTTCTAAAATAGCATCATCAATATATTGAATTCAATACTTTAGCTTCAACAGGGGTTTTGGGGTTTTGGGGTTTTGGGG